AAATGTGGCAATCATGCTTATAACACCCTGCAGTGGAGAAACAGGATCTTTTTCAATGTCTCCCTGTGTCTGAAAAACATGGAGTCTCGGGATGCCTCCCTCCCTCACTCTGAATTGAGAAGGGCGAGTGTGTGTGAGGATGACTCCCGTTGCACTGAACTTCTGATCCACTCGGAAAGTGATGAGAACTGCTACCTTTTGCCAGTAGAATTAAAAGAAGATGTTGAGAAGCAGAACATTTTAATGGTGCATAGTATACTGGCTACCTCACCACTGAGGAATATAATACCTCTTTTAACTGGCAAGGGCAATAATCTGGAGAAGTGTAAGAACTTTCTCTCTCAGAGCCTTGGAGACACTTGGAAACAGATTTATGCTTCACTGCAGTCAATACCACATCTTCCACATCTTAACAACACTCTGAGCAAATGCCATTCTAAAAAAGCAATATTTACTTGGTTTTGCTCTTAAGATTAATACTACCAATACAAACATATACCCTTGGAAATTAATCACAAGTCTTCCAGAAGTGGCTTGAGCATACCTTGAACACACGTATATTGAACTGTAAGTTTACTAACCATGCAGATCACATCAGTCATGTTTGTATGACACAGTAAGTCATATTTTTTTAGAATCCTGTCCTACTGTGAATGAACCAGTGGGTTATAAGCCAAGAACAAAAAATAGCTTTTGACTCTGGCTTGTGTGAGGAGAGACAAGGCAGAGTTCCTGGATGGAAATTCTGCAGTTTATTTAGCTGCTTCTGCTTGCAAGAAGAGCCAAGTGGGAGTAATCAAGAGGAATGCAGCTACCATGTTCACAATATGCCAGAAAACTTTAGAATTTTGGATTATTGTAACATGTAAAATAATACACAGAATAAGAATAATATAAAGGCAATTTTCTACATTTTCCAGATTCTTGAAAATTTTGCAGTTTCTGTTAAATGTCAGTGGAGCTTATTCAGTAGGCTGTTAAGAGTGAGATGTGTGATCTCTAATGTAGTATCAACAGTACTATTTAAAAACTCAGTCATGTTAAGAAAAAAATGTAAGGTGGCTGTAAACTTTCAGTGGTCAGGAGATAGTGAGACAATTAGCTTTACTAGATACAATCTTCTCAGAGTTCAGTAAGGTATTTGGTAATGATGCATGATGGAGCATTTTTAACTATTTGTTCCCATATTTGGTTTGTAAACTATTCTGAGAGCATATGCTGACGGGTACTGTCTATAAAACCCTCTAATAAACAAATAAACAAACAAACAGTAAAATAAACATTCCAAAACCAAACAAGGATACAACAACAGGAGAGTGCACTGTAGGCTTCAAAGAGATGAGTAGCGATGTCCAGTCTTTTTCCATCTGCAGTCTGCTGGTTATTAACCAAGGCGAGCTTATGCAAATGTGGAATAACAACTGGAAAAATAAATATTTGAAATTAAATTATAGTTTCAATTAGAGGCTTGGAAAATAAGCAACAAGAAAAGTGTATGGGTTTGTTTTTCATCATTACAACTTACATTCATCTCTAAATCTTGGCTCAGCATTTGGTCCAACTCTTCCAAATGTTTTTATGATTTCTGTGTGTAAGGAGTGTTGATCCTGATATTGGGGATCTTCCAGAAAAGAGGCCAACTGCATTTTAACTCTTTCCAAAAGCTTAAGAGGAAATGTAACAGATGGTATGAATATGCTCATATCTACAAGTTTTCAATTTATTATTACAGAAAGACTGTCTTTTTGAAATTAGTACTTTGACCTCATTACTAATAAAATCCCTCTGCAACAAAGCTGTGCTTTGAATATTGCACAACAATGAATATATCTACAAAAATCAATCCTGACTGATGTTTGCTATGCAGAATTTCTCACTTCTGGACTCATCCAAAATAAAACATCAAAGTACACCTCATTTTCCAGTATAAATGTGCATATATGTAAAGTTCCTTCTTTACATTCAAGTATAGCTTAGAAAATATAACTTGTACTAGTACTACTTATTCAGCATATGAATACTATGAGTCAGTACAAAATTCCTAGTTGCATTTCCTCAACCATGTTATTTTAGAAAATAAGGAACAGGCTAAAATCACAAGAATGCAAACTCTGCAGAGATTTTACCATGAGAATGCAGCTTTATTAATTGTAAGGTTTCAAAAATGTATCTGCTGATACAATTAAAAAGTTATTTTGTTTGTTTTATATCACCCTGAAGTTGCATCATAATGATGCTTGAAATTTCTCTTTTTATAATTTTATTTCGCATATACATATGCCAACTTTATGGCTAGATGCTAATACTGACCACCAGAACATCAAAAGTTCTCTGGCACATGACTGCACAACCCCGCTTCAACCCCGTTTTTTTCTTTTTTTTGGATACTGCTGCTTCACATTCAAAAAGAGAAGTAGGTGCCTACCTATTGACGATCTGACCTACACAAAATTGGTACAGGGCAAGGAAAGTCATGTAATTTTAAGAAATTGTGTCTAGTCTGCTTGTTTCAGTGTTCCCTCAGTACCCCTTTTGCCTTTTGTGTTGTGTCTGTTAGACTGTAAGCCTGAAGACTGGGATTGCCTTTGCTCTTCCAACAAGCCAGGAAACTATCGGCACATAAAAACAAGAACAATTCCCATTTCCTACTCTTCCAAGACACTTAGTAAAATCATATATTCTATAAAGACAAATCCTTATACTTTGAATATAGAAGCAGGTGTGAAGAAAGGACCAGTTAACCAGGACTCTGCACCTCCCCAAGTATTACACTTCTTTGAATGCCTAAGAGATTATAGCCCAGTTGGAATGTTTAGTGGAGTATTTAGCCACACAAAACAACTATAGATGAGTGTTTTTTGCCTGTACTGTATGAGTAAAACAATTGTCAGATATCAGTAAGATCAACTCCCAACAGTTCATGGAGTAAGCAAGCTTGACTGATATCTGAACCTTCCCACACAGTGAGCTCCTCATGTACCTCATGCTATTTTCATCTTGCCAAACAGCTGTGTGGTAGGCTGGCCAGGGTGTGGTTGTGATGGCCAACATCACCCAGCTGATAGCAGGGAAGCTGCAAGTGGCGGGGAGGTAAGCACAATGGGATTTCAGTGCAGAAGGAAGGAACCTTCGCTGTCCCCGCATGCTGAGGAGTTGGGAGACTCTATCTGTGCTTGGGAAGCAACAAGAATGCCAGTCCTGGAAATGAGCAGCACACAGCCTCAGATGGCTTGTGGCTTTTGGAGGCCACCCCAATCTAAACTACTTACTCTTTGACAATCAGAAACAGTGTGTTGCCAATGTTTGTTACAGAGTTTAGTAGCCGTTGACTACAGACAGCTATTGTTCTAGTGTAATATAAAGGCATCCTACCTCTCGCTGAGTGACTGTTTCCATGATCGTACCAAAAGCAGGAATTGTGGCTATTCTTACAGAGCTAAGAGGGGAAAAAAAACCTTCAACCTTTAACATTACAACAAATTGCAATAAAAAATAATGCAACGTAAAAATTAGTATTTTAGGATAAAGTAATTGCTACCAGTGACAAGAGACAGAGCAGGAACAATGCTCAAAGTAATAGTAGTAGTAAAAATAATAAAAGACAGACAGACAGACAGTATCAACTCAAGTTCACAGTCAGAAACTCACAATTCAGGATCACTGGACAAGGTAACAAGGGCCGGAGCAACCCGCTTGTCAACTAAGGCTTCACTCATGCCTCGAAGAGTCAGCTGTAAACCAGTCAACATGCAATAAAAACGGTTTTAAACTGGAAGGATAACTAGGTTAGCTGTGACTGAGGATGAGCAGGCAGAGTCTCTAGCCTTTCTTAGTCACCCACACAGGGCAATAAAACTGTTAAGGACTCTGTTCATGCTTCAGCGTTTACTGGCAATAATGTGTTAGTGTGATTAGCATCCCTCCTCAGCATGGAAGAAACAAACACCAGTACAAGGCTTTTGGCAGATCTTCAGATACTAGAACTACTACAGTTGACAGCATTTCATTTGAGGCAAAAATAGCAACTTAAGTTGCATTATGTATTTATTTTCCGAATATTGTAATGCTTTTACCAGTCAATTACAACTGTATTTTGGAGGCAGACCTTAGCTTTCTGCTTTTTAAAAAAGAAATCTCAGGTTTCATTATTAGAGTACTAAAAAAGCATCTTCTGAGAGTTTATTTCTTGACAGGTTGTAAGAGGGATGCTAGTTGTATAAGACAGTCAGGAAACTTACATTTCAGGGTCACTGGAGAGAGTAATGAGAGCAGGAACAACTCTCTGAGCTACCAGAGTTTCATGTACCCCCTTCACCAACAGCTGATTGGGTAGAGCAGAGGGGTACCACAGGTGATGCACGGAAAGAGTGAGCACAGTATCATGGGAAGAACAGCACAAGAGGAAGAAAAACACAAAAAGCAAACCAAAATTAGAAGCAAATACCACTACACTAAAGTGCCCTTTTAATATAAATATGCAGAAGGCATGATGAAAGCGCAAGTGGCCCAAGCAGGTAGCACAAACCGGACAAACTGTGAATGTGTTAAAAACAAACAAACACCCCCCCATTGCTAGGCAGTAAACGCTATGCCTATTCATTTTAACTAGAAATCCTTGCAGCAGAGGTTCCAAACTTCTTTTTCAAAAGGGACCTGGCTTTTTGGGACCACATAACCAAGAGGAGATGGATCTATGAGCATTACATACTTTGCCACACATACTGCAGGTAGTTAGACAATTATTCACTGATGGGCACCTAGAGGTCACTATGGAGCTGCTGCGGTAACATGACAGTGCTTGACTCGTAATTTCAAACTGAAAACTGTAAGATTTTTTTTCCAGGATAAAAGTAAGAAAAGTATAAATATTGATAGTATAGTTGCCAGCTTTCTATGGTTAATATTTTAACCATTTTAAGAGTCTAGTAATGAACAGTACAAATGGACTTCCATAATCAAGTTTCCATGATAAGATAGCAAATACAGGTTGAAATAGCTCTACTATCATTCTGCATAATACTGATTGACAATTGACTGGTTTACTTGTTATTGCAAACCTTCTTCTATGATCAAGAGGCATTTTTTCTTCTATTAAACTACTGAGGATGCTGAGATGCAATCCTTTTTTTTTTCTTAGAAATTTAGGCTGCTCTAAGATCCCACCATTGTTTTAAATCCCTTAGCAAACATCCCCAAACAAAAAGGTCTGAAAACCACATAGCAAAGAAGCCTTAATATAATCAGATATCACATTCTGAGAAACAAAATCCTCATTTTAAAGTGTGCTTTGATTTTAAAGTGTAAAAGGAGGCTATAATGACAGAAAGCCAAACCATTTATTTGATCTCACCTTGTTTAAACCAGGGGTGGGCTAATTTCAGTCTTGCATGATGTACTTTGTTGGTTTTTGTTTACACAGTAGCATGTCTACAGACCACCATTATGCATTCGATTTAAAAGCCAACAGTGTTTTCTCAGAATTTCAAAGTTAGAACTAATCCAAGTTAAGTGGTCTTTAGATGTACTCTTGGTTAAGAATATGGCCTTCTAGAGCAAAGTAAGATTCACCTAGCAAAACATTCTTGGCAAAAAGCTGAGCATCCAACCGCTCACTATCTAAGTTCTGCCCACCCATGGCTTTAACTTATTCCTACTGTGCTTGGATTGTGTTCAAACCAGGACCCAAATTCTGGTCAGTACAGAATGCTAAAGATTATTGACATAGTTTTATATCAGCAGTTAACACATATGCACCCACACAAAGAGCAAAAAAGGGGACAGCCAGATAAAAAAAACAGCATGCTGGTTCACAGTTGCTTCCAATGAAACTTTATACTTGTATTTCTTCACCTTTCTACCACTTCTTTATGTATATGCTAGAGTTAAATGGTTGGTAGATACTTGCATCCTTCTACTCTTTCAGTTGCATTTACAGTATAAAAAGGGAACACCTAGGGTCTGACCATTCTCACTAGTAGACCTTCCTATTTTTAACAACCTGGAGTTTTTTGGCAAATATACAATGTCCTAAGAAGACTCAGTGAAGGGACTGCAGGTGGCGCAGTGGTTTAAACCGCTGTGCTGGTTGATTGAAAGGTCGCCGGTTCGAATCTGCACAACAGGGTGAGTTCCTTTGCTCCATCCCAGCTCCTGCCAACCTTGCAGTTCGAAAGCATGAAAATGCAAGTAGATAGAAAGGTACCACTTCAGTGGGCAAGTAACAGCGTTCCGTGCACTTCAGTGTTTAGTCATGCTGGCCACATGACCACGGAGACTGTCTGCGAACAAACGCTGGCTCCCTTGGCTAGGAAGCAGAGATGAGCATTGCCCCCTAGACTCAGGCATGACTGGACTTAATGTCAAGGGGAAACCTTTACCTTTAGGGTCAGGAAAGTTTAAGAGGGAATTTACAATATGTTCCTTCATGAAGAAATTAAAACTGAGCTAGAGAGAAGGTTGTGGTACATAGGATAAGTTGATGGTCACTTTCTTTCACTCCTCATTTAGTTCATGATGTGGACTCACAGGACAGTGCCAACAGTTAGCTTAAGCATGCTTTTCAAGATGCAAGACAATTCAAATCCAAGAAAGGACTCAATTTCAAATGTGTAGCACCACGCCCAACAAATTTTATTTGCAGAGGAAAAAGATATAACTAAAGCTCCCCAGAGAGGTCCACCTGGCGCCGTCGTTATTTGTTTTTTGGCGCCAGGCGAAGACTTTTTTATTCAAATGTCATTTTAACTGTTAATAATATTTATTTATTTTATTCTTTGGCCAGGGCGACTTATTTTATATTGTTAACTTGTTTTATATTGTTAATGTATAGTATTTTAATTGATTTATTTGTGAGCCGCCCCGAGGCTTCGGCAAATGGGCCGGCATAGAAATTTTCTAAATAAATAAATAAAAGAAGCCACTCCATTTCTGTCTGTCTTTCTTTCTGAGTTCAGATACTTATAATTTCACTGCAGAGTGGCTTTTTCAGAGACATGCAGAATCTGTGGACTTCTAAAACTGTCTTTTGGGAACAATTGATATCCATTGTGTTAGTTCAAGTGCACATTAGTGCTAATTCACTGTTTCTAGCTTTGTATGTTATATTGTATCATAATGCTTTGTCACCTAATGAACCATATATTATAATTATGTCTGAACACTCTAGCTTCTGGTTATGAGTGACAACTGCACTATTGCAACTTTTTGTCCACTTCTGTAATCCTATCCAAGTGGACAAAATGTTAGCATGCATGTACTGTAATCCTATCCAAGTGGACAAAATGTTGGCATGCATGTACTGTAATCCTATCCAAGTGGACAAAATGTTAGCATGCATGTATAAAGAATGGAAAATGGTCATGGGATCCAAAGATGCATGCCCATGATCATCAAGATAAACTTATGTGCCAGTGTGATGTAGTGGCTAAGAGAGCAAGACTGGGAATCGGGCGATGTGGGTTCTAGTTGACTGAGAGGAGAAGGGAGAGAATGATGTGAACTGCTTTGGATTCTTTGTAAGAAAAAGGGTGGCATGGTAATTTAATAAATAAAAATCATACCCAGTTTTTAAACTCTTATTTACTAATGTGAAAAAGCATTGCTAATCAAGATGCAACCCTAATCAAGCAAAACACAATCCTGAAATCTTCTCAGGCATATGGAACAGGTATCATAACCCTTTGCGCAACTTGACCATTTTTTCTTGTGCCGGAAGGACACGATCTGTTCCCATACATACCAGGGGACCCAGAATAATTAGCTCAAGTTGCAACAAACCAAATTCATGGCAGATATCAGGAAAAGTTTCCTGACTGTCAGAGCAGTATGACAGTGGAGCCCGCTGCCTAAAGACGTCATGGGTCCACTCACACTAGAGACATTTAAAAAGAAACTGGACAATTATCTGAGTGGCATGGTGTAAACTGGAGTCCTACAACACCAGGGGAGTTGGATCTGATGGTCTTTCTGGCCCCTTCTGAGATTGCTATTCTATGATTCTATGATTGTTGTATGGCTGAAGCAATGACTGTAAACCAAAGGCTTTTTCCCTACCAAAAGAGTTAATGTTCAGTGTGGCTGCAGTAATGGAAAGTGTACCAAGATAACATGCTGCATTGACTGTTCTTCCCCCATTTACTATTTTCAGGGTTTTGTCTGCAAGTCACAATATATCCAATTTTCTGTTTTATAATTAGGAAAATTAATTAATAGATAGTCAGTTTCCAAAGTCATTTGTTTATTTAAAGCTTTTATATCCTTCCCTTCACTGTGTCTCAGGGCAGGAATACAACAAAATACAATAAAGTATAGCATCAAAATATACAGTAAATAAACTGTATAAATTACTGTATAAAATAAATACAGTAAATTTACAATCCATATCTGGTTTGAACACTGAATTCAGCAACGAAATGGTTCCTCATAGCCAATGGAAGCTTCTGAGCATGCAGTGCACCAACCTAACAAATCAAATCAGAAACTGAACAAAGTCTAACTTTGCCATTTACCACAAAAACTTCTTGCAAGTAGATGCAAGCCAGTGACACTTGAGGTAAATAAATGATTGCTGGAAACTTATAACCCTATGGAATCTAAACTGTTAATATCCTGCTCCATCACACAGTGCACAACTTCTGAAGTAAAATAATATAATGCAATATACATTTTCAATATCTGCATATATTAGGCAACATAGTCTCCCAGGTACCAACTAAGCCTGGCTATGAATCACCTTGCACTGACGATGGGACAGAGGGTAAGATCTGTTTCTCCCTGCCCCAGTCACTTTGTCCTGAGGAAGCAGATGTTCCAAGAAACCCAGGGCACATTTACCAAGGTCTTCAGGGTACAATCGTATTTCATAAGGGGCAGGGGCAACCAGTCCAAACATACGAGTAGCTACTCGCTGATAAATGAGTATGCAGCCTATAGTTGCACACTACAATAGTGCATGGCCCACTCCCTCTTGACTGCCTGATGCTTCCTGCTGTCCCATCTCCAACTTGAGAAGTGAGATGGTGAGTGGTGGTGGGCACAGGAGACAGCTGACTTTCCTTAAGAGGTTGAATCTGGGCCTGTGCCAGCAGTTCCCAAAATATCTTCAAACAGCATCTATCATCAGTTTGGTAAGCACTTACCTCAAACATTCTAGCAGCTGTACATCGAACAAGTGCCGAAGTATGGACAACTCCATACCACAAAACAGTTAGCAGCAACTCGTGGTATGCAGGGTTTGCACTGAGAGAAAAAAAAACCAATCAAGATAGCACTATATATAGCCACTTGTTCTCAAACAACTCCATTCATCGTGCATGATCTCTTCTCAAATACTTCTTCAAATTTCACTTGCTCTATGTAGCTCTGAACTAATACTGAGTACCTATAGCTGCATTTTCACGTATGAGCTTTTTGTTCCTTCCCTCTTTCACTTTCCAGTCTAAATGTAGTTTGTAAGCTCCCTGGGACAAAGACTTCCATTACACAGAAAAAATCACCTACATGTGTAACAAAAACCTTGGCAACAAGCTTCAGAATCAGTCTCCAAAATATATGGAATATGTATATCTTATACTGCAGATATCCAAGTATGCTTTGGATGACTTTTTTTTAAATAAAAAGATGTTTGTTTGTACTGCTTGGTAAACTGCTATTGGTAAACTACTATCTTCACAATCACTATGAAATATTTCCCTGCACAACCATGAGTTAGGCTAATTTCAAAAGATGATTTGCTGTTAATTCACTAAGAGCTCCTCTCCCTGAGGAGGTTAAGGGGGAGGTTGCAAGGAGGAAGGTCTTTTCTGTGTGGCACTCTAATTATGGAATGCTTTACCACTGGAGATTTGTCAGGTGCCTAACTTGTTGAGCTTCAAGCACCTAACAAAAACTTTTCTTTTTCAGTGCACCTATGGCATCACTTAGAGCATTTATATTAATTGCAATGGCTTTAATATATTAGTTTTACTTGACTATACATAATGTGGTATTATCTTGTCTTATTTATTGTGATAATTTCATTGTATCATTTTCCTTAATGTTATGATCAGTACTTTTATTGTAACAGCAACCGAGAGGGTGTGATGCTGACAGGCGGCTTTCAAAGAAATCCTATAAATAAATAAAAGCTCCGAAAAGATACATTAGCACTTTTGCCAGGGCAATGTCACACACACATGAAAGTATGACTGCCCTGCATGGATACAACAATGGTAACAGATATGCAGAAACAAATATTTAAAAGCAAGACAAACTCACACCACTTTACCCCAACTCCAGTTACAGTATACCTTACCCCAGTTCCACAAAAGATGCTTTCAGGCTATCAAGGGGAGCATGGGATAATGAAAGCATTGTCATTACATCTTCTAAAAATCCAACTAACAGCTTGCGGTCTTCTTCCTGCAAGTACATTTTAAAAGTTATACATTTTAATGCCACACCTTGTGCCAGGGAAATGCAGTAACTCTTTGGGGAACCAAATGTCAGCTGCTCCCCTTGATCCAGAGACAGTATGCCTACTCTTCAGTTCTTCGGCTGCTTCACTGTTGGCCTGAGATTCTTACACAAAGCTTGTTACTAGGTAAATTTTACTGAAAACAATCTTTCTAGTAGGAATTAAGACGTTTCTGAACACATGAAGGTGCTTATGTCTTGCACTCCTGCTTTGATTGCTCTCCTTATTCAGCTGCAATACTTGAGTATATTAATACATGCTCCAACTGAACCTCCTACTGATTTGTCATAATGGAAAACTGTACAATTCCAAAACAGACAGGGATTACTATAGGAGAGTGTATAAATATGTGTTCAATCACCTATTTTAAGTCTCATATTACTGCTTCTAATTGTGCAAGCAGTGGCAGTCCTGTAATGGTAAAGAAGTGTATATATTGGAGGCCCAAGTTTTTTCAGAAGCAAAATTAAAATACAGTCTCAGAAAGGAGAAAGCTTCTCTTACCATCACAGTGACAGAAAATTCAGATTCAGACAAAAAGAGGGCTATTGGCAATGCCATAGCAGTGTATTCTTCAGAATACAAGAAAATGAAATGAAACACTAATTCATGCCCTCTTCCATCCATTTGCACCCTCTGAAAAGCCTCTCTGGAAAGCTGAGGCTTTCCTTTAAACAAAGTGAGAAGAGGCATGGAAAGCAGAATTGCCCAAAATTAGGCAGTTGGCTCAATTTTGGCTGCAGGAAGGAAGAGGGGGCAGGTGAAAAGATTTTTCCTTCTGTGAACATTATCTTAAGAGTCCATGCCAATATTTATGTGCTGCTACTGTGTATTTAAGCTTCATACAAGTTTCACTAAAGAAGTGACAATGACCCTCATTTAGTATATGGATATGTTTTAGAGACATACAATGCTAAGTACTTAATGGCTCACCTGGATATAGCATGTAAGTACACCAGTTGCATAGATAGGAACTGTAGCTTTTGTTAGCACACCATTCCCTGCTGCAGCATCTGAAATTAAGACAGAAAATGCTAATAGAGAGGAATTAAAAGCATACCACAGTGGTCTGAAAAATAGCTGATACTCTAATGCACATTTTATCAATTCTATTGTATACATTTTGATCTTTTGCATAAGCAGCAGTTGTGTGATTGCAGGTTTAGCAAAACTGGAATTGTTCCCAATCTTATTTAAACAAAATACAAATGTGGCCTTCTGTACTAAATTACTTAGGTTCCCCTTCCCCATTAAACCAACAGAACACATTGAATTTGGGGAGAGTATGACTTTACATTTCAGTTTGGATTCCCTATACAGTGTGCATGTGTACGTGTGTATCCGCATCACAAATGTTACCCCTTTAGCATATATGATGTAAATACATAAGGGATTAAGCAGCCCAGGATTCAGGCAGTGGGGCTCCCATGATTACAGAAGAAAAAAGCATAATGAAGAGAAACTTCCTAATACTATAAAATGCACACATTTCAGCCATAGTATTTAATTCAGTTTTTAACTAATGAAATCAGAATAGCTTCAAACTCTCATTTGTAGAAATAATGAATCTGAAATCTGTCTGCTTTTTAATGTCTTTAGTAAAAAAAAAATCTACTACTCACCAATGTTCTCCTCAGAGAGCCTTAAGATTTCCTGGAACTGTGGTTTTACCTAAATATGGAATATAATCAAAGGTACTATTTCATGTTCAATATAGGTTACAATGCATGGGGCACTACATAAACAATAATACTTTAAGTACTCTTTAGTGAATATCAGCCTTCCCCAACCAGAGAAATATATATCTGGATTGCTCCAACAGAACTTTGAAGTTTGCCAATGGTCCAAGATATATTTTGGAAGCACTGTAAGTTAGCTGAATTTGGTTCAGGGATCAAATATTAGATTGCCTTACCAGCTAGGCCCGTTTACTTGGCTCTCACAACATGATACTCTGTCATGGGTAACTAGTAATGGTGAGTTGTTGTGTCATCAAGACTGCTTCCTGCAGGGTAGTTACTTTGTGGGCAACAAAGCACTCTGAAAATCATGCATTGCCTTAAGGGTTGTTGGATCCACCCACTGCTTCCACTGTGGTCCAGGAAAGCGGCAAGCAAGCTGTTCACAAGTAAAGCAAAAACCTCTTGTTGCTTTTGCCAAACTTGGGAGTGACCATCATTGGCTTGCTTTCCTTGAAGCAATTGTAACCACTTTTCAGTCACCGTGGTCACTGCTTTTTCCCTCCCTCTTCCACTTTTTGTGATGTCTCTCAGTGGCAGTCCTCCAAAGCGTTCAAGAAGTACAATGGAGCATCCATCACAGGTTCACCACTGTTTACTATTTTTTTCGGTGGGGGGCAGCAGAAATGTGCACAAAACTTTGAGCCTGTTACCAGGGGACAAGGGATGATCAACCCTGGTGTGTGGATTGTTGATGTCTGCACCTGGTATCAGTGCATGTGTGAGGGTGCATAATAGATAGCTTAGATTTTAATTATACGTTACTTTTTAACAGACAAAGCACACTTATGCAAGTTTAACAGAAAATGGTCCTACAACTCCCAGCATTACCCAGACAGCAAGAAGGAAGTGCCTCAAAAACTACAGAGGACTGGTTCATTTTTGGTGGCACAATATTTTTCAAGGTGATACAGCCCAGAAACAATGAGAAACTCTAGCCAGGCTGCCACCAGCAACTTCTTTGTTGCCTTCAAGAGCTTTGATTGGCTTTTAGTGCCAGATACAAGATGTTTCAGACAGTGACAGAATAAATGTGCTTAGTTCTTTACCAGCATGAACAGGCTAGGGTGCAATATTTTATTCAAGATTTGCTCAAAAATAGCACCCAAGATAGTGGATTCTATCTACTTCACAGTGGGATCAGCTACAGTTTCTTGCACTCAGATTTGAGCAGAAAAAATACACATTGAAATCCAAACAAATTAAAGTAAAATTGGGAAAGTATATAAACAATTAGGTAAATAAAAACACATTGGTTTATAGATTAAACAAGAGACCTTCATGCTGAATGTTCATTTAGATGCTGTGTACTAGCCTCTACTGGAAGAAAAATCTTGGCTGAGTAAAGGATGTACCTCAAACCCTTCCTAGACCTACAATTCCACATTAGTATTCATTAGTGTTTACCTTTGTATTTGTGAAGATTTTTCCAAAAGTTCTGCAAAGGCGCCAGAAAAATCTTGAGAATTCATGTACACAGGCTGTTGAAGCTACATTAATTTTGCCAACTATTTCTATCAGCTGTGGCAACCTGAAAAAAAATCAGCATTTCAGACCAAAACTAAGCCATTGTTCAGAAAATAGGCCTCTACACAACTGGATCCTTTTGTATGACTATCCCAATATTTTGGGACTTCTCGTATACATTTAACAGTACAATTATAATACCATGAGTTAGAGAAGATTACTAAATAGTACTCAGTGTTATATTACTGTTACTGTTCCCAAAAGGTAACATTTTTATTATTCAAATATTGCATAAATAAATGCATAAATAAATTTATTTTATTCAAAATATTTTTATTTATTAATAAATTTATTTTATTTATTCAGATACTGCATAAATAAAATCCAGAGCATAATTTTATGATCATGTAATGTAGGAAGACAGTTTTAATTGCAAAAACATAAGACATGGTGTGGATTCCATTTTACAAAGGAAGACATTAAATGTGATGAAGTAAAGGTGTTTATCAAGCAGAATAAAAACCAGGAAGAACTCACAGTTGATTGACAACCCACAGCAATGTATCCCAGCCTGTGGTACCCTCATGTTCCAGCTGGTAATCATAAAGCTGCAATAGTACGGCCAGTTGTTCACGGCTTCCAATTATAGTGGCCACATCTTGAAGAGGTGATACAGGTCTTGGAAACCTTGTCACTGGCAGTAAATAACCATGTTTAAAGTTAAAAAAAATCTTATATTGCTCCAAAAAGTATTAGACGATCAGTGATCAAAGTAGTTAACTACAGGAAATTTCACCTAATAAAATAAATTAGAAAAAATGAAAGAGAGAAATCTACCTACAGTTCATGTAATGAAAGCTACAAGAGGATTTGTAGATTTTGATCCTACAAATGTCAACTGCACTAAATATTAGTCCAAATATTACTGTTTATTCTCGCCCCTCCCTCCGTCCCCACCGCACTTTCGAGATGTGATTACTGTAAAGGAATTATCCTGGAATTATCCTGTGAAAAATGTTTAGAGCAGGGGTAAACAACATCTAGAGGGACACAACTCCCATGATTCCTTGCTAGTTTCTTTACCTGGTTGAGATTAAGGGAGTTATAGGCCAAAACATCTAGAGGACCACAAGTTACCCTCTTATCTTGGTAGGCGTGGTATACTAGGGGAAAGCATTATTTCTCATTCCTGTTCAACCAAGGGGAATTATTTGTGCTCTTTTCTTCAGCTAACACTGGGCCTGCACATGGGTTTTCCAATTAGTAATAAAGCAGAGAAAAAAGATGCAGAAACAAAAATGGTTAGGAATAAATTCTCCACTATGATGCTATTTAATGAAGTATCAATTCAACTTCCAAGATATACAATTAGAGAGCTGCACTGGTAATATGGGAAATTATATTTGTGAATATTTTACAAAATTTGTTTCTACTACAAATTTCAAACTGCAGAGAGCAAAGTAGCTGAACTGCCCCCAGTACACAGTATTTCTATGCAGCATTTTAAAGTTCATTATATTAAATGAAATGGGTGATGTTTATGTGATTTCTAAATAAACCTTCACTGAAAATAATGAAGTCAGTACCTTCTATTTGTGGAAGTTCTCCATGAAGTTTAGCTTTGTTTGTGAAAGGTGCATTCTGCAGCACAAGTGCAAAAAGTGAAGGAATCAAGGACTGCAAAGCAGAAAGGTACATATGGAGCTTATGTTCATCCAGCCCATGCTCACCTTCCTGAAACACAAACCAGAAATCCATACTGAACAGGTGATTTCAGTTTAGAAAGCTTGCTAAACATTTTAGCTATTTTCATTGTTTAGTACATTTATATCTCTCCTTTCTACCATGATGCGTAAGCTTCCGGGGGCATAGTAAGTTTCAGCAGGATTGCGGCATTATGTCCCTTCAAGTTCAAACCATGAAAGGCTAAATCTAATAATTGTTGCTGGAGGTATGAAATAAATGTTTTCAGCAGGCAACACAATGCTGGGACACAACAAGAGATGAGATATGATTTAGGTGCACAACTGATGTTTACAAAGTGACCACATTTTTTTCACTCACAGTTTGAACTTATAAGTGTAGTTCGAACTTCAAAGAGATTTTATCTTGACTCTAATGTTCAAACTATGGATCTTGCCCACCACTCACCTCCTGCTGTGCTGCCCAGTCCTGTGGCCCAGAGGGTGGGGACCCCTGCTTTAGAAGTCTCCAGAATTATTCATTTAAAACCTAACAAGCAGCAGTCATTCAGTCAGTTGATCAGTCAGTCAATCAGTCAAACCATCTTTATTCTATGGTCACACACCCAACAACAAGTTCAAGTTACTTTAAGACTCCCAAGCAACTATGCATTTATATAATAGTGAATAGGGTTTAAAAAGCTACTGGATGGCAATGTAAGTGATCTAAAAACAGCTATGCAGAAAAAATCAAGGGTGATGGTGCTGCATGTTAGCAATGCTAACAGTAAGTTCTAACAATACATCTGGACCTAGCAGTTAAACACACACACAAGTAAGGTTTCTTGTTTGTCTCAAATACACAACTATCTCCAAGTATAAGATACCTTAATATTTACCCTGAGTAGTTTTTCAATTTTACTAAGCAAGGTAGGTATAAGATGTGACTGCAAATTTCCCAATTCTGTAGTCCAGGCAGCATAGGCAGGTAAAAACACTTGATGAGTTGCCCCAACTACTCGTTCTGAGGGATCACCCAAAGCTGAAAGTAGTAGTTCAAAACCCTGGTAATAAAGAAAGAAAAGAATCCTAACTTAAACCTTCAGAAAAGACACCAGCTTTAAATTTGTTAAAGCTGTAGAATCAGTATGGTCACAGTAAACTAAATCGGAACTTTCATTTAATATTTGCATGAGCACATAAAGTAGTATGCATTTTGATATAAAAAAGGCCCATGGCCATCAGCTTATAGTATAAATAACTGTATACAGTATAATAACTGAATAAAGTATACAGTATTCTGAATTAAAAACAGTATAAATAACTGTATTTATACTTGGCCATTTATAACGTAATAAATAACTGAAGGTTCCTCAGTCATCTTATAGAATATTTACTCCCCAATTGTGTTGGCTCAATGTTTGTTAGAAATCCTGCAGTGTACTTTTGGGCTTTGTCACATGATCTAACAATAACCAGATGTAGGTAGTATGACCAGTATCATACCTGTTGATATTTGTCTGGATCATCGATGTATCCCATGATGATACCAAGACTTCTAATCACAGCTTCTCGTACCAAATCTGCTTTATCTTCCATCAGCATCTGCTGTAGCATGGAAAGTACTAACGAACTACGGATTTCTTTCTAAAAATGAATATGAATTGGTATTTCCAACATTAATATTATATAGAAACTGGAAGCACAGGCTGTTAATAGTTCATACTTCTCTACTAGGTTTTTAACAATAAATTAACACAAAGTAACAGCAGCTGATCAGTAATATTCTGATATGACAAAAATAAGTTCTTTATGATTAAAGTTAGAAAAAAATTCACTGCTAAGCGAACCTTGCCAAGTTTCAACTCTTATTGCTTCAGATGGCTGGTAGGTCCATGTTTATTCAAAAAGGCTTTTGACTGGATGCTCTGTTGGTTAATTTTCATTTCGTTTAACTCTTGCCAGTTTTCTTTGCTGTTCCATGAATTTGATATTGATAGTGGTTTATTATGTTAGCTTTGTGTTTCTAAAATTGGTTTTTTGGAAGGCTATGTGTGACACAGGCTTTTAAATATTGCATGATAATTTTTTATTTGCTAGTCACCCTGAATTTGTTTTTAGGAAGTGTGATAAATAATTCTTTAATAAAGAAACAATGTATATGCAATTAGAATACTGGGGGGAAATGCTATAGGTTGGATTAATTCTTAACTGCAGGCCACCTTAACGCGTGATTTCAACTATCCTCACATTGACAGGAAACATGTATCATCTAATTCTGATGGCACAATTAAATTTCTTGATGATCTAAATGACTGTTCCCTAGAGCCTTTAACCAAAGGACTGGAAAATGGCCAATATAACACCAATTTTTAAAAAGGGATCCAAGGAATTACAGGCCAGTTAGCTTAACATCTGTTCTGGGTAGACTGCTTGGGAGCATTATTAAAGATAGAATCAGTAAGCACATAGAGGGACAAGCCCTGTTGACAAAGAATCCACATGGCTTCCACAAGGGGAAACCCTATCTCTTTAGCCTATTGGAGTTCTTTGAGAGTGCCAGTAAGCACACAGACCAGGGTGATCCAGTAGACATTGTTTTCTTGGACTTCCAAAAGCCTTTGACTAAGTTCCTCACCAAAGTCTTGAGCAAACTAAGCAGTCATGGACTAAAAGGGGGAGGGGTCCTCTTGTGGATCACTAACTAGTTAAAGAACAAAAGACTGAGAGTGAGAATAAATAACAATTTCTCCCAATGAAGAGATGTAACCAGTGAAGTCCCACAAGATTCTGTATTAGGACCAATGCTTTTCAACTTATTTATAAATGACTTGGAATTAGGAATAAGCAGTGAAATGGCCAAGTTTATTGATGGCACCAAACTACTTAGGATGATTACAACCAAAATGGACTGTGAGGATCTCCAAAGGGATCTCTCCAACTTGGGAGAATGGGGATCAAAATGGCAAATGCACTTCAATGTAAGCATATATAAAGTAACACACACAGGAGCAAAAAAATCCCAACTTCAAGTATGGGCTGATGGGATCTGAGTTGGCAGTGACAGGGCAAAAAAGGATTTTGGAGAAGTGGTGGACAGGGCGATGAAAATGTTAGCCTAGTGTGCAGCTGCTGTGAAACAGGCAAACTCCATGCCAGGCATAGTTAGGAATGGAACAGACAATAGAACTGCTAAGCTCTTATTTCCCTTATACAAATCTTCAGTATAACCACTGTTAGATTATTGTGTTCCATTCTGTTCAGATTACCTGAAACAAGGACATTACTGAGTTGGAAAAAGTGCAGAGTAAGGCAACAAAAATTAAGTGGCTGGAGCAAGTCCCCTATGAGAATCAGCTACAACATCTGGGTCTGTTTAGCTTAGCAAAAAGACGAGTAAAAGGAGACAGGATAGAGGTGCTTAAAATGATGCATGGTTTGGAGAAAGGGGAGAGGGAGTATTTTTTCTTCCTCTTCCATAACACTTGAACTCAGGGTCGTCCCATGAAGCTGACTGGTGAGAGGCTTGAGAGAGATGGAAAGACATCTCACATCTTTCAGTCAAACTCTGGAATTTGCTGCCATGGGAAGTGGTGATGGCCACCAATTTGGATGGCTTTAAAGAGGAATTACATAGATTAATGGAGGAGGAGGCTATCAGTGATTATTATCCTTTCTGGTTGAGTGCTACCTCTTTTATCAGAAGTGGCTTGCCTGTATATACCAGTTGCTGAGAAGCTTGGGCAGAAGGAGGGCTTGCATATTCTGCTTAAACAATCCTGCAGCCAGCTGGTTTGCCACTGTGTGTATGGAGTGCTGGACCTTTGGTCTGATCCAGCATGGCTTCTCTTGTGTTCTTAAGTTCATCTTTTTTGCTCTCCTATGTCAACATTACCAGTAGATGACACTGAAGAAGCTGGTTGGTTCTGTTCTTACAGCAGTCTCCAATGCCAGATGGCAAAATTTTTCTGGAAACCAGTATCTCAAATATGATATGGAATTATGTTCCATTAGTAGAGTACAACACCAATATGAAATGGCAGAAATTCCACTGGGATAACAGAAGACCTTTCTGTGAGCTAAATGACTCTTTGCAATATTGATACTGTGTTTAGCTCCTGATGGAGTCTTAAGAATAATAATGGCAAACAGATCACTTACAGGAAGGTAAGGTGCTAATGCTCCACATGACTCTGCCACTAGTAGTCGCCTCTCTGGATATTTGTGATTGATCTATAGGAAGACAAAGCCTCTAATCATTACATGTTCATTCATTTAATTCTTTACTTACAGTTCTCTTTAATGCATTTCTCAGTTTTTCCAAATGATTACACAAATGGTATCCTTCGATCTCATACTAAAAAGAAAAGCACCAAGGAGTTGCTATTATTTTGCTACCTCAAGTGTTCATTCAGCCAGACTGAGAATCCACAATATGCCTTGAACCAGGGTGCCTGGGATTTCTGGACAGGAGCTGGGCCAAAGAACCACCTCTGAGTTCAGTGAATGGAAGGGACTACAAGGATACATGACAATGGCATAGTCCTTCCATAAACTCATATTTGTAGGATTGCCTGTATGACCACTGCTGACACTTGGAAGAATTTTGTGGGTCAGCTCAGTACTGGGCTTGAACTATTTTTTTCCTGTTCTATCTTATGGCACTTATAACCTCAAAACCATCTGACCTAGAGGCAAAAATTAACTCTGGTATTTACACACCCATTACTACCTATCCAGCTTCTAAACTGAATTGATTTAGGTTGCTGTTTCTGAACAAATTTAACATACTGCTACATATTAATACAAATTCACAGTAAGCAGTGTACTGAAAACATATTAGCTATTGATAATATTACCATGGCTGAAGTTACTCAATAAAAGCTAATTAACTTCATGGATGAAGTTACTCAATAAAAGCTAATTAATAAAAGCTAAAATTGATGGATGAGTTTCAGTTATTGCGGCGTGATGATGTGGACAAGGTGTTTGGACGAGTACGTCCTACCACCTGCTTACTGGACCCTTGCCCATCTTGGCTACTTAACAAAGCCAAGTACGGGATAGGGACCTGGATCCTGGAAGTTGTCAACACCTCTCTGAGGGATGGCCGGGTACCTGCGCCTTTAAAGGAGGCGGTAGTCCAACCAGTCCTAAAGAAGGCATCCCTGGATCCAGAGATGGCCACCAATTATAGACCAGTGGCCAACATCCCGTTTCTGGGCAAGGTGTTAGAGCAGGTGGTGACTGGACAACTCCAAGCACTCTTGGATGAGACTGATTATCTGGACCCATTTCAGTCTGGCGTCAGACCCGGGTATGGTACTGAATCTGCCTTGGTCACCCTGTATGATGACCTGTGCAGGGAGAGAGACAGGGGGAGTGCGTCCCTGTTGGTCCTCCTGGACCTCTCAGCGGTTTTTGATACCATTGACCATGGCATCCTTCTGGAGAGGCTAGTGGGATTGGGAGTAGGAGGCACTGCTTTGCAGTGGTTCCGCTCCTATCTCAATGGCCATTTCCAGAAGGTGGTGCAGCGGGACTATGGCTCTGCGCCATGGCAGCTATGCCATGAAGTTCTGCAGGGATCCATTTTGTCCCCCATGCTATTTAACATCTACATTAAACCACTGGGAGAGGTCATCAGGAGGTGTGGGCTGCGGAGTCATCAGTACGCTGATGATACCCAGCTCTACCTCTCGTTCTCCACCAATCCAGGTGAAGCAGTGGCTGTGCTGAACCGGTGCCTGGCCGAGGTAATGGGCTGGATGAGGGCCAATAAACTGAAGCTCAATCCAGACAAGACGGAGGTCCTGCTGGTAGGTGGTTCGAACTCCTGGGTAGGTGACTTGGATCTTGTCCTGAATGGGGTTGCACTCCCTCTTAAGGACAGGGTCTGCAGGTTGGGAGTGCTCCTCGATTCAGAGCTATCTTTGGAAGCTCAAGTAACAGCGGTGGCGAGGAGCGCTTTCCTTCAGCTTCAGCTGATCCATCAGCTGCGTCCTCACCTGGAGAACGATTGCCTGGCAACAGTGACACACGCATTGGTTACTTCCCGATTAGACTTCTGTAACGCACTCTATGTGGGGCTGCCCTTGAAGACGGTCCGGATACTTCAGATGGTGCAAAATAGAGCTGCCAGGTTGCTGACGGGGACTGGGCGTTGTGCTCACACAACTCCAGTCCTCCATCAGCTTCACTGGCTCCCCATTGAAGTACGGGCCCAATTCAAGGTGCTGGTTATCACTTATAAAGCCCTTAACGGCTTGGGACCTGGTTACCTAAAGGAGCACTTACGTCCATATATGCCCTCCTGCCCCTTGAGATCGGCAGCAGAGGCCCTTCTCCTGGAGCCCTCCGTGAAAGATATTAGGAGGGTGAGCACCCGGAGGAGGGCTTTCTCTGCAGTGGCGCCCAACTTATGGAACACGCTCCCCAGAGAGGTCCGCCTGGCACTGTCGTTATTTGCTTTTCAGCGCCAGGCCAAGACCTTTTTATTTAAACGTTATTTTAATTGTTAATTTTATTTATTGATTTTAACATTTTTGCCAGGATGTCTCCAATATTTTATGTAATTGTATCTTTTATATTTATTTATGGTTTGGAAGCCGCCCCAAGGCTTCTGCGAATGGGGCGGCATACAAGTTCTCCAAATGAATAAATAAATAAAACTGCAGAAAATTTATATATCCCATTACCTGCTCCCAACACTGTGGCAAGAGTTCTGCTTCTACACGTGTTGGTCCAACATGCCGAGCAAATGCTACACATCCAGTCAAAATCATTTGCCTGTAAAATAAAAAAATTCAGCTCATTACAGTGAAACATGCTTGCTAAATCAAGCACATGTGACTAAGAGCAGATGCAAGAGACAGAAAATGTTGTTTAGAAAATGGCATCAGATAGATGTCGCTAATCTTTATTCAATAACAGCCAGAAACTGATAGTGTGAATGACTCATTTAATCACGAAATTTTTCCTACATGAAGATAATTTCTACTTAGGAAAAATTCACATTTCTAATGCATTTTGTGTATTATTATTACTTACTGCCCACAAACTTCCTTATACAGTTCAGACAGCAATATATATATTTACCCAATGCTTCATATGTGGCTTGCAGAGAGCTAGAAAAAATGCCATGCATAAAGTGGCCCTGAGCAGTAACACTCTGAAGGGAAGCAAAAAGCAGAATGTCCAAGTAAAATTGAAGTGTGCCAACTATACGTTGCAAAAAGGAGGGCTACTGCATAAATTGACCATTAGGGAATCTGTGCTTTCCTCAAGGAGCCTAAAGATTAAGAAATTTTAGTGAGCATATCCAATGTTCAAAAACCTTCCACTAAGGTGAAGAAATTGGCCATGTGAAGTGACTTTTGTCTCCGTCTGGTGGATATGGCTACCAGCTACATGCCTATATTGAATCTGAAAAATAATCTTCAGAACAGAACTACCTCACTACCTACCATTTAGTAGAGGGTAGAAAAATTCTTCTAAGCCTCATAAGGATACCAGTCCCTCACTTTAGTGTTCCATCATCTCGTTTCAATAATTAAGTTCTGCTTGAAGAGTCTGCAGATTGCTCTAAGTCTGCGCTGCAAAGCCAAGAGAACTGCTCAGAGAATTTTTCTGATTTTGTAATTTGAACTGAGGAATTGTCAGTCTCAAGGACTGGTACCTGCTGATTCAAGACTTTAAATATTAGTTTCTTTCTTACATTTCTAAACCTATGCTTAGATCCAACCATGTATATGAAAAATATTGCACAAGTGGATATGCAAAAGTTGCACAAGTGGTTATATGCAAAAGTTGCACAAGTGGAAGATCGCTCACAAAAGAGGGCTTTCCATCACCGCCCTTTTTATTGCAGCTCCCAGAGCTCCTGAAAAAACCTCCCCAGGGCTAACAGGACCCAGGTGTGGAATGTGACATGGAGGAGTGGGAGGTGCAGTACAAGAAACAATGTAGACAAAATCAGGTGGAGGCTGCTTACAAAAGTGGGATCTGTCAATGTATCATGCATATACTATTGGCTTTAATAGCTGAAGCTGTTCAGTTGAGCAGAGAGGGGTATAAAGCAAACCTACCAAGTATACAGGAGAAGCAGAACTCAGTCCACACTGTTCCTTCTGCCTTTAGTGCTATGACCTAGACACAGGCCTAGTTTTTTCTGAAATGCTAACCTGCCCCTGCCACAACGCCAGCTGACATACATTCCTGCTGCAGGCCCGCTTGCTGTGGCTGCTGCCAGCCACCTGCGAGGTCAGCCTGCCACTGCCTCTGGCTGCTCACAGGCCCTACCTACCCCCTTTCTATTGGTCTGCCAAGAACTGCTGTCATGGAGCTACTCACCCAAGGAAAGAAGTTAGGAGTTCCTGCCATAGTCTATGGGGTGGCAGTAGAGTTGCTGGGTTTCTCTTCTGGACTGAAACATGATGACATTTTCAAAATGAAAGAAAGCCAGCCATCTAGGACCCAGTCCATAGCTGGAATTCCAAGCTGGGCTACCAGCAGGCTTTTCACTTCTCATGGAGTGGAGTGTGTCAATTCAAGAGAAAAAGAAGCGAGCTACTATCCTAGGATTCCAGCATCTCTCCCATTTGTAGGAGGTGGAAGGAGCAAAAGGGAGCGCTTCACACATTTTCTTGCTCAGTTTGCCTTGGGGGAGCGGGAGGGGAGAATTCACTACACCACAGCCTCAGCTCAGCAGTGTGCTATTTCAGGTCCCAGAGAAAGGAAGTATGCAAGCCATTTTGGAGTGGGGCTGGGAATTGATTTGCTTTGCATTTACATTCAGCAGAATCTGTAATGCAATTATTGCCCCAGATGGAAACGTTTTTGCAGAAGTAGTTCTGCAGAATGATCAATATCTCATAGGACTGTGCAGCTCTAGAAGAGAAAATGCTCCCTGTGTTTGTGGCATCGCAAGAAGAAAAGAGCATGATGTGCAATTCATCAGAGTCTGGAGAAATATCAGATACAGCAAGTATAAATTTTTTCCTAACAGGGAATGGCTTTATTTTACAAAAAGTTTATTCCCAAGTTACTCATGGTCAGGGTCAGGTCATGATATTATACTGAAAAGTTATATTGTGGATCACCTGCATTTTTACATGTAAACCATAAATATTAAAACAATGGAGGGAAAAAGCTAAAGGCTATAACACAGTGTTATAGTAGTAACAAAAGACAACTAAGGTTATTTTCATAAAAAATCACAGTTCCAATTCTGAACACAAGATCTGCAGAAAATTTGATGATACTAGGAATACTTTAGAGAGTAGATTGAAAATACTGGAGGATATCTATTATGTTTCAGGGAGAATGAAGAATTATGGGCCCAAAGCTTTAAAGTTCCTTAGCATGAAGTTTCTACAGCATAATGAGAAGCCTCTAAGATAAGAAGCAAAATTAGAATTCAGCTTCATGAAGATACTGTGGAGAAAAATGAAGGCCAGCTTCCCTGAGCAGAGTGTAGCAACTGACTTGAGGGTATCATGAAAATGCAGCAAGTTGCTACTTACATTATAGTACTTTTACTTTCAGTGAGAGACGCTTGTGATACTTTCTGTGTCAGGTATATGAATAAATTGGCCAGTCTGTAGTACTTGACAGGAAATGGGTATGGAAACCCTGTGCTCTTTCACTTTAGTAAGCAAAATGTCTTGGCCTGATTCTCATACTAAACATATTTCTTGGCTGTAGCATTCCAGACAGCAAGCAAGAGTTCACATGACTGAGTGTCTATGGTCCTATTATTCAGTCTTGATGAGACTTAAATAACTGAGTGCCAAAGGTCTCAAGGAGAGGATAGACTATTTTCAACTTATGGAGCTATGGGAAAATGTAAATATATCTTTTTCTTGCCTAGTTGGTAGAAAGCTCTTTGTCAAAGGGAAACACAGATACCCTTTCCATCTCACCTAAAAAATTGTAGGGTTCCACTTTTAAGGCTGAATGTGAACAATTCCTATTCATAAGACTATGAAGAATATTAATTGGAATTTATGAATATGCTTATACATCTTACGAGAGAATAGATAAGGACTTTATTTTATTTTATTTTTGGATGTATATCCTGCCTTTTTCCTATAAAGGGCTCAAGGCAGCTTACATCATTCTCCTCCTCCATCTTATCCCCACAACAACCCTGTGAGGTAGGTTGGGCTGAGAGTCTGTGACTGGCCCAAAGTCACCCAGTTGGCTCCATGGCTGAGCAGGGACTAGAACCCAGGTTGCCTGAGTCCCAGTCCCATGCTCCTAACCACGACACCACACTGGCTCTACATGAATTGTCACTGACTATATACAGAGCTATGCTGTTCCTACTCAGCTAGAAACTTGGAAAAAGAAAGCAGATAAAGGTCCCTCAGACAAAGAGAAAAAGGGAGAACTTCAGCCACAAATAAAAAGTACATACCTTTGCTCATCATCTGGCCTTTTGATCAAGTTGAACAGTATATGTAAAAGTTGATCTCTTTCTTTGGGTTCAGGATGGAGGCAAGCTGTACATAGTATGAGAGGTATCAATTCCTAAAAGATTGCAAGTAGGAGGGAAAGGTGAAAAGCTATCAAATGATGTTTTAAAAAATGAAACAAAACTTTAGGCAACATGTTAACATTTCAAGGGAAGTAAAATGGTGAAAAGTATTCAGTCACAAAATATGAACACAATTAGTTTGTGTATTGATTGCTTGTGAACTCACAAAACCATAATGACAACCTTCCTAATTATAAGTTCCAGCAGCAGCTATAAAACCATGCTAGAAAATTTTCATTTTCATCAAAAGTTTCCTTACTGAAAGCGAAGAAAAGAAATAGCTTTGAATTTGATACAAATACAAGGCTAAATGAACAAGATTTTATAAGAAATTTGTGTTATGTTGACTGCTAGACCGTAATTGCAATCCAATCATTCCAGCGCAGCCACAAGTGTATCACATGAGCCATGGTTGCTCGACTATTACCCACTTTGCACCCTTGAACTGAATGGGGAAGTTCCAACTTGTGTAGAATCCCTACAGAGCATTCATTTATTTGTACTCTTTATTAAAGGGACTGTCAAGGAGATGGCATGTGGCAAATGCTTTGAACTGTTCATTGGTAATTGTCACTGAGATTTTCCCTATTGCAGTCTAATCAGAGGTCCAGTCTGATTTACAAATACTTGTAAGTTCTGATGTTTTAGCTGATTAGTACCTTGCACGGTAATCATTGTACATTGAAAAGCAATGGGATTAAGTAAATGGGTACAATTCAGAGATGTATTTCACAAAATCCTGACTTGTTGCACTAAATCCTAACTATCTGACATTCATTGCTTGGGAAAGCTACACTGGCTTAAATATCAGCAGTATGCTTACAGAACTGTGGGCTAGTCCAGAAATAAACTAAAAGCAAAAAGCTTTAAAAAAAGAAATAAAATAAGTAAACAGTAACATTTCTTTTCTGCTATAATTATGAAATCAGATGGTACAGATTCCCAGAAAATTTTTAAATAGTATGATTCAAGCCCCTTTCCTTGACCTTAAGAGTATAAGAAACCATACACACTATTAAGAAGATTATTTTTAAGTAAGGTACCTGGTAGCTTTAAAATGAAAGATTATTTTAACTAAAACCAACCAATTATAAATTCTATTATTTTCTCAGCAGTTTTTTGAGAATGCAACAAAGCATGAAAAATTATACTGAATTAGAATACAAAAAGCAGATTTATAGCCAGGAAGGTGAATGCAGAACATTTTATAACAATGCTTTATTCTTCCTGTCAGAACAGGGCAAACTATTGTTACACTGAGAAATAATAGACAGTAGGAGATAGAAATTCAAATTCCTTTGCTTTAGAGCTTGTCTAGTACCTTTTCAGAAATCTGCATAGTTTCATTGCATAGTTCTAGGAACAGTAAGATGCTTTATGATTATGTTGCGTTCCTTCAAGATTTCAGAGCGAACCACCAAATTTAAAGAAGTCACAGTTGATAGTGGAGTCCAAAAAAGTGTGTATATACAGTTAAACATTAAAAGCTGGTGCTTTATATCCATGCTTTATATCTAGTCATCCAAAATTATGCTTTAGAGTATGCCACAAATATGGGGGTTTCTCCTCACCAACGGTATGAAAATACAGATCTGAATGTAGTCTGCAAAGACACCATTTGGAACTTGGGAGGCTGTGAGAGCCTTTGTTACTGAAATGAAGCACTATACTCTTGAGTCTGGGCTTACGCTAGTTGCCATTTTAATGCCATGACGCCTCTTATTTTAAGTTCTCCTATCTATGGTGACCACAACTGTGTTCATTACAGCAGGAAATAGGAAATTCTGTGATTATTTTTGGCCTCAGAGTTCCAGCCTTCCCCAAATTAGTTACATATTCCAAGCTCAATGGAATCTTCTGGAAGGGGTCAGTAACTGCTGAAATGATGCCCTACCTCAATCCTTTTAAGCCAGATAATGCACAAGTGGGTTGTCATTGAATTGAGCTTTAAGGAAGAATTCAAAGCAATGAAAACCCTTATTCATTATTTATTTATAGCATTTTTATGCAGCCCCCATCACAGAAATTCATGTCTTTCCTGGGATTCTGCAGGTTTCAAAAGGACAAAACCAAAATGGAAAAACTGTGAACAAGGAGAGCAAAGAACGAAGAACTCATTGGGAAATGAGACTAAAAGCTTTTTAAAAATCCAACCAAAAATGTCCCAGGCAATCTCTCTGCTCCTCTTAAGATCAGCCGGGAAACCAGGTAATTATTCTACAAAGTAATTATAAGAATATACATGAGGAGGGAGAAAAAACATATGAAAGCTAATTTAAGGAGAAGAATAAAAGAAAGAGGATATTTACATACGTTTGTACTTAAAATAAACTTTGGATGAGCTGGGAAGTTTTATTAGTTCCATAATACAATGAGAAAGATGAGTGATACTTTAGATTTCAATTATGAATGAACTGTGAGAAGCAAGACCTATGCTAAGTGCATTCCACCTTGATGCAAGAAAGTTGATAGAATAGCTGTATGAAGATATAAGGTTTAAGAGACATAAGATATTGATATTAGAAGATATTATGATGTTGACTGACATTTCATGAATTCCAATGAATTGCTATTTGACACTGGGATTGTAAACATCTACCCTTGTAGAGAAATAGGACACACTATCAGCATATTAACCTGTGCTACCTACTATGGTATATTTTACAGCATTGTCCTGTACAGGTCTATTCACTAGTAATTTCTTTGAGGTCTTTGGGGCATACTATTACTTAAGTTGGTATAGAATTTCCAGCCTTTGTTTTACCTCCTCTTAGCATAATTCTCCAAAATAAATCTTAATTTGCTATGGATGGGAGAATTATTTATGAAATCTGGTATATATAACTAATCAACACAAGGTCATATCCAATGCTAATCTTGCATAGAGTAGACCCACTGAAATGAATGGAACATAAAGCTATGTCTTGCTCATTTTAATGGGTCTATTCAACATAGGACTATGACTGGGTGCAATCCACAACGTTATCAAGTGGGAGAATACTACTCTATTGTACACTTCTACTGAAGGAATAGCAAGATGGTCATTGAGGATGAATTAACTTAATCTAAATTAGAAATAAAGCAAATAGTGACAAATGATTTGAACATATAGGAAAGATGACTGTGCAACACAATACTTTTGAAAAACTTTATTTTGTGACCAAAGAAGCTACTAAGATCACAACTGCAAACATACTTACCAGGCAGTACACTTCACTGAACACACTGGGTCTTACTTCTGAGTAAACATAGGATTGTCATAAATATTTGAGAGTTCTGTACAGAATGTACAGAATTCTATATAGAATGTAATTCTATACAGAATGTTCTGTAGTGCATGCATTTAAGCACTAGTGAATTCCAAGCTCTCTAAATTATTTGTGGGAAGAACCCAGGATGAAAATGATAGTCTACTGTTTTATTCTAAGCTATATCCAGTAATATTTTACTTCAAAGCTCATATTTATGAGATATTATTTGTACTGAGTAAAGAAGCCAATCTAAAGCTGTTTTTAAAGATGTATATGGTGCCCATGTCTGAAAATAACTGTGTTGGGTTGAGGAAATGAATAACACTTGAAGTAATTGGAACAAAAATGCCAGTGAGCCAAATTGCAATTTGGATTAAAAACACAGGGATAAAACCAATATAACATTTCTGTAAACTTAACAATTTTCAGAAACTGAAAGTAAAAATCTTCATGTCACAAAACAATGGAACACCAACATACTTTCTAATGTTAGCAATGGGTTATCCAAAACTTGGTATAACATAGTGTTACTTGCTTAAGACTTCTTGCTTAAGATGTAAGATGGGAAACTAAAATATATTAATATACTTATGGAATGTAAATTCATACAATAGTAAGCAATACTCAAGAGATCAACTTTCTTACTGGTCTCAAGACTTTAAAGTCATCTTGATGCATATCAAACATTAAAAGGCCTGTTGATAAATTTTACTATGCATACCAACCCATGGAGCAGTTTTTTGGATCTCAATCACTGGTTAACAGAATCATTCTATGATCCTTCAGATGGTGCAGGGTAAGGTAAATTTCTGCACTCCTAGCCATACAGCCTTGCAGAGGTATGGTGGGAAATCTCTGCTTAGATTTACCCCCAGCCTACTCTCCAAGCAGCTGCAGGAATCTCTATATCACCTTATTGTCTGAAGTCATTGTTGCAATCTCAGAAAAGAGAAAGTGGAAAAAAGAGGCAAGGAAAGGAAAGGGAAGAAGCTGTTGATCCACGAGATTCTTAGGCCTCATCCTAACCTCCAGAAAGGTAAGTTAGATGGACTGAGAGACCCTTCTAGCTTGAAACAGCAAAAAGAGGAACATGAGGCCTCCATTATTCCTCTAATCTTCTCTGGCTGGGCTTAGGATAGATAGAGGTATTAAAGACTGGAGCCTTCCATTGTATTAAAACCATAGGTCTGCACTCTTATTGTCATTATATAGCTAGTTTTAATATAGCATTCAAATTCTGGTATGCTGCTTAGGAAACAAGGAACAAAAAAAGGTCATATTTGATCAGACCAAAGGCTTATCTAGTCCAGCATTAAATTTACATAGCAGCCAACCAGATGACAGAATCGAAGACATGAGTACAACTGTACTCTTTTTGTTGTGTCTCCAGCAACTGACATACTGCCCCGATGAGAGAAAATTGAGTCAACATGACTAGTAACCACTGACAGATGCATCCTCTATGAAAGTGACTAATCTACCTTTAAAGCAGCCCAAGTTCATGGCCATTGCTACATCTTGTAATTTAGGGAACAACCAAGGTATTTCTAGAAGTGTATTTATTATTTGTTAACCTAAAATCTATGAATGGAGGGTGATATGTTTTTATTCTATAGCCAGTTTTAAAAATACAGGGTCAAAAATACTGATGAATAAAACAAAGGAAATCTCTACTTCGATGTTTAAAGGTAGGTATGTCAACAGAATATTGAGCACAACAGAAGCCATGTGTTTATGTATTA